GTATAAATAAGGTGTTCTTAGTTGAAAAGACAGCAAAAATACCACCACGAAGCGAAACATTTGTATAGATCGCAATTAATCCACTATGAGGTGGGGAAAATGTAGGTCGGCGTGATTCCCATCAAACAATAACAATCCAACCACACGGCAAGTGGTGGCCGATTAGTCTTATTTTTCAAAACACGATATTCATAAGTATCCTAAAAGAAAATTATGATAATACTTACATAAATTGACGCCATAAACAGATATATCGAATGTTTCTTTTACTGAACCATCATTATAATCGTCTGCTGGTTGGGTCAAGTCAGAGGGGGTGGCAATGGGCGATGGAATAGCCGCAATGGCAGAATGACGATCTCTTGAAAGTTGTTGTTACCCCATTTCAGAAAAAGTAATATTTCTACTTCGTGGAACGTAGTTGGCTTTTCTAAACACATAAACTTGATGGTAGAGATGTCTAGGAATATGATTCTGGCACGGATAGCCCGATTTGTGTCGAATTTCATACAGTAGTCTCCGCTTAAACACACGGTGCTCGGGAGGGCTCCAATGCGTGTGTTGCGTGCGTTTACATGAACCTTTGCAAGGGGAGGAAGGGACGCAGTCATCTCATTGCCTTGATATTCTAGTGACCTCCCTTGAAGGAGGGGGTGATTTTGGCAGATAATGTGACGACACAAGACTGTTTTGTGAAGGATTCCCCGACAGGGGTTAAGAAGACAAAGGCGTTGAATGAGGGGAGGGGGGGGGGGGCAGACTCAAAGTAATGAATATGCACTACAAATATCGGGAACAGGTTGCATAAGAGGAAACTTTAGGTCAAAGTCATTGAGACGACGGACAACTCGGACCAGCCACGTCGCTTTCCATGCGACCAGCCCTGACCGTAAATTTCATGCAGAATCATCCTCGAGAAACATTTTCCCCTGTGATTCGTTGAACAAGTATTAGTATGTTAAGTTCTTCGAGCGCTGCTTATTAGGCTTACTTGGCTAATTTTTAATCCTATATAGAGGCCTGCCTAGTGTTTTACGGCATTTAGGCATATCGCGCATCAGGCCTAAATCTTACAAAACATTACACGCAGTCTCTCAAACTCAAACGCCAGTCAGAAACCTTCTCTCAAAGTGTCAAAGATACATTTCCAGTGACCAATCAAAAAACATTTCAGCCCCCCCCCAACATTTAACCGATCAGCCATAGACCGAGACCTATGCGTCAGAGGAAAGTAGGGTATGTAAACGCTGTCCATCACTCTCTTTGTACGGCGTGAGGGGCACTCTCACTAAATATTCAGTTTTCTAGTAAATTCTAGGCTTGTCTTATGCAGGCTGTGCAGATTGTCGTGAAAATTTCCCCTTGCCAAGCTTAACTTCTCGACGTGTTTCGCGGATCGGAGCGTGCGTTTAGAGGGAGTGACCGTGCATTTGTACGTCTAAATTATATAGTAAAAAAAAAAACACATAAACAAAACGGGAGAGAGAGCGAAGAATACGATCCTGACACAGACAGCCACGCGGAGACTACTGTACATAAAATAAATTTCTTTCTTCGTCTTTACATCGTACCACTCAAGCTTTCCGCTCGGAATAAAAACATAAACACATTCCCCGGAAATTCTCCTGAAATCCCAGATTTTTATGTTTC